ACTCTAGAACTATTGTAAAACAAACCGGAACTCTATAGAAATAGTTAATTTAAATAGTTTGTTTGATTAGGTGCGCTGCAACAACTTAGCGCACCTTTTTTTGAAAGTCTGTTTTTTTGTATTTAATGACCGGAACTCTATAGAAATAGTTAATTTAAATAGTTTTTTTGATTAGGTGCGCTGCGAGAACTTAGCGCACCTTTTTTTGAAAGTCTGTTTTTTGTATTTAATGACCGGAACTCTATAGAAATAGTTAATTTAAATAGTTTTTTTGATTAGGTGCGCTAAGTTCTCGAAGCGCACTTAATCAGTAAAATCAACTATTTCTTTAGAACTATTGTTATATATGATATAGAACTCTAGAACTATTGTAATACAAAGCGGAACTCTAAAGAAATAGTTGATTTCACTGATTAGGTGCGCTGCGTGAACTTAGCGCACCTTTTTTTGAAAGTCTATTTTTTTGTATTTAATGACCGGAGCTATTTAAAATTGTTGCATAGAGCTCTAGTACTTTTCAAGAAAGTATTAGAACTCTAAAAAAAGTCACATTTTTAAATATGTTGTGCCAAGTTCACACAAGTCAATATGAATCTTCTACGAGTTACAGAGCGGGCTATAGTAAAAGCGTCCGGAGAAGGTAAGAAAATCCAGGCGCGCGGCCATCGAATGTACACCGTGCCTCCGTAACGCTTTTATTTTCTCAACAGTGGTTTACACTTTAGCAGTGCCGACGGTGATATTAGTTGGGGATTCGGTGAAAGAGTAACATTCCTTCGTGCAACCTTTCACCATCGCGTGCTCAGCAGAAGAATAGTTTTCGGAGTAATCTTACGGAATGTAAGCGAACCTCCGCGCTCCCACTCGCGATGCTAACCGATTCTCGCAACTTACAACGTAACTTCGCAAGACGCAGGATAGAGGCTGGGGAGTTCCGGCTGGCGGTTCGATCGAATCGCATCAGGATAAGTCGCGCTTTCAATTGTCGGGACAATCAGTTTTATAAACGGCGCTGCCGTGCTAAGTCGTGAATTTCAATGAACGATCGTCGACGAGCTCGTAAAAATTGTTCATGACCGTAGCGTAAGGCATTTATGATCAATACCGGTGCGAACATTCCCAAAAAGACAAAGTAACGACGGCCCGGGATAGGTGAAACACGGAGGACGAGCAAGAGAGATACTTCTCCGGAAATTACGCTCTCTCCACGGAGGCAGGACTTCCGGTCCGGCTATATATAAGTCGCTTCTAGTAAAAAGAACCGCAAACGGACGTGGCCCGTAAACTCCTCGTGTCCGAAATGTTTTGTCTGTGGCGTCTCAGGCATCCGTAAAAACACATCGTTACTACGCGGGGCGAATCTAAGTACACGAGAAGTTTCGCCAAATGACGACCGCGCCCTGTTTCCTCAATGAGATTTTTCTAAGAGTAAAAACGCGAAACGAAAGCAACGTCACTCGCGGCGTTAATCTTTCTTACGAAACGCGGTTGATTCCCCATTAATTTAAAATTTAAAAAAGATAGGTTATACATATTCCACCGTATAATTCATGTAAATTTTCGCTTGCAAATATATATATATATATATATATATATATATATATATATATATATATGCGCGTACGTGTATGTGTACGCGCGCGTGCTGTGTGTATATGTGTATACGAGATGTCCTCGTATTCATTTGACCATCTCTTCCGAAGACGTAGAGCGAATTGAGATGAACAAAAAAGTCTCATATCGTTTTGCAAAAATCGCAATAATCATCGAGATATTAATTGTAGAAGATTTGTGAAAGATAATATGGTATATGAACTATAATGGCGACGTCTGTCGTATATTAATTTGTATATTAGGTCAAACTGAACAAATTTCTCTACTATTTTGTAAATAACCATGTAGATTTTTAATTATAAATTAAAAAAATTGTTGCACGATTTTACGCGATAATGCACTAATCTTCTTTAATTAATAACTAAAAATCTACATGGCCATTTGCAAAATGATTTAAACTAAAGCTTTTATTCAGGTTGACCTCATATATTAGGTGTACAACTTTGCTTCCGCCGTTTTTTTCCGAAATTTGAGGCTTTATTGGAAAAAACTGGTTATACATTTATGATTCAAAGTATTGTTCATCGCTGGCCACTACTTTCTCCCATCTTTCGGGCAGCGTACGAATCCCGCGTCGAAAAAACTGGTCATCTTTTGAGACGATCCACGAATCGATCCAATTTTTTACTTCTTAATAAGACCGGAAGTGCTGATCAGACAGGCTGTGTGCCATTGATCGAAACAAGTGATAGTCAGAGAGAGCAACGACTGCAGAATACGGCGGATGGGGTAGGACTTCCCATTTCAACGTTTCCAAGCATGTCTTGACCACTTTCGCATCATGGGGTCGAGCATTGTCATGCGGCAAAATCACTTTATCGTGTCTCTCGTTGTATTGCGGCCGTTTGTCTTTCAATGCTTGGCTCAAACGCATCAATTGTGTTTGATACCGATCGCCTGTGATTGTTTCAGTCGGTTTTAACAGCTCATAATACGGTACGCCGAGCTGGTCCCACCAAATACATGACCTTGGAGCCATGAATATTCGGTTTGGCCGTCGACGTGGAAGCATGGCCGGGAACTCCCCATGATTTTCTGTGCTTGGAGTTATCGTAATGAACCCACTTTTCGTCCCCAGTCACAATGCGATGCAGAAATCCCTTCCGTCTTTGCCTTTCAAGCAGCTGTTCACAAGCAAACAAACGTCGTTCAACATCTCTCGACTTCAATTCGTACGGCACCCAATTTCCTTGCTTCTGAATCATTCCCATGGCTTTGAGGCGTTTTAAAATGGCTTGTTGAGTCACTCTCAATGATCCAATTCTTCTTGATTTTGACACGAGTCTTGATCAAGTAATGCCTCCAATTCTGCATCTTCGAAAACCTTCTCTCTTCCACCGCTATGCCGGTCTTCGACGTCAAAATCACCGTTCTTGAAGCGTTGAAACCACTCACGACACGTTCTTTCATTAATAGCGGCCTCATCATAAGTATTTGAGAGCATTCGATGAGCCTCAGCCGCAGATTTCTTCATATTGAAGCAGAAAATTAAATGACGAGAATTTGGCTCGTAAACTGACATTTTCAATCGAGAATAACTTTATGATGCAGACACAAATCAACTAATGTTTCTATGGGGTTATGTTGACAGATGCCCAAGTTTATTGTATGACGTCTATGATTTATTTATTTCGACCACCACTTACCGCTAAAGCCATCTATAGGAAAACGGCGGAAGCAAAGTTGTACACCTAATACAAGCACATAACGGCAGACATCACTATAGCTCATCTATCACATCGAACGTCATCATTTACAAAAATTCTTTAATTAATGTTTGACAGCTACTGCGAATATCGCAAAACAGTATAAGATTTTTGCATTTATCTCAATCTGCTTTATACTTTCACGAGAGATTATGGAGTCGAGCTGGAACACCTTATATACACATATAGAGTGTTTCAAAACAACCTTCGAAGCTCTCGTGAAGACAGTATGGGTTAAACATAAAAGTCCTATACTATTTTGCAATAATACTATTCACAATAATTATTGAGATATTAATTAAAGAAGATTTGAATAATCACGTGAGATATAATAGATGAGCTGTAATAGTGAGATCTGCCGTCGTATGTCTGTATATTAGGTCGAACTGAACAAAAAAATCTTCTACCCTTTTAACTTTAATTAAGACAAGTTTATAAGGTATTGTCTTAAAGAAGTCTTAAAGACGTCCTAAAGACGTCTTATGACTCGATTTTGGACATTTGTGCTGTCTGAATATGAAATATGTTTAATGGAAAAACTGTTTACCCAAGAGTCAAGTTTACGATAAAAGAACGTGCCCTACTAATTAATATCAATAATATTGTCATGGGATAATCGACGAGCTGTTTGTCAAAACGCTTTTATTTGTTGCCGTACATCATGGTTAGTTGGATTTTGATTTAACAGAATAGCGTTACGTAACGCACTCGTTTGACATACATCTAGAATATAGGATAGCGTAGCGTTCAGTTAACATTTTCGCAATTAAATACTGACGATATATTCGTTCCTCCCTTCGCTCTTCAGCCTCTCTTGCGTCCCCATAACGCTTTGGCCCGTTTATATCCCGTATTATCATTTATGACTACTATTTCATGTATTTGGACATGTAAAATCCAATAATGTATACGCAAGTAGAACAAATTTACTCCGCGGCATTGTTGTGTGCGAAACGTAATACCTGCGAATTATGACATGCGAAATTTATGCGATTATCATCGAACACGCTCGTTCTTTTTTATGTGCAGCTCGTGGGCGGCGAATTCGACATGGAACTAAACTTCGTGATACAAGACGCGCAGAACATCAGGCACATGCTGGAGCTTCTCGATCATTGCCCACCCAATCTCCAGGTAAGTGTACGACGACGGGACGTTAAGCTGGATCGAATTAATTACGCGCGGAAAATATCCGCCGTAAACCAATGAGAATGCAGCGGAAAATATGCGCGAGATTGAGTGTCGGTCACATTGCAATATCGGTAATTGGAATTGAAAAGTTATCGTATGTGTGGATGTATGTATATACGTACATACGTGTGTATATACAGAGTGTAAAAAAATTAGACCGACAAACTTTGAGGGGAAATAGAGGACATAAAAACAAACATATTTTGTTAATAACGTTTTTCTCTACGATGCTTCGTTTTAATACTACAGGATATAAAATAGGAATTTTATGATTATAATAAAAAACAAACATATAAGTGGAAAAATTAAATTTATTTCAATCTTCAAAAAACAATGAACAAAAGAATCGGAACAAAAATGCGCAAATGATTAGCTCAATTTATAATAAATGTTCAAAAATTCCTCCATTCGCCTCATACATACATAATATGTATGTATAGAAAAATGTTTAATATAAAATTTGTAGGTTTTTGAGGGGAACATAAAAAACTACTTTGTCTGACCTTGGATGGAGGCGTTAAGGTCACGCCAAAGTCAACTTGAATTTTTTAAATAAAATATCCTACTCTTTATTGCATATTCTTTTAGTTTATCTTCAGAGCTTTCCAAAACACTATAATAACGTATTTTTTCATTAAGTACTTTTTGTATAATAAAACTTGAAAGTTACAGTACCGCCGGTATTAGCATTATAAATTGAGTTAATCGCGCATTTTTGTTTCATTGTTTTTTAAAGATTAAAATATATATGTGTAATTGAAATAAATTTAATTTTTCCATTTATATGTTTGTATTTTATTAAAATCATAAAATTCCTATTTTGTACCCTGTAGTATTAAAACGAAGCGTCGTAGAGAAAAACATTATTAACAAAATATGTTTGTTTTTATGTCCTCTATTTCCCAAAGTTTGTCGGTCTAATTTTTTTACACCCTGTATAATACTTTTTACATCTCGAGATGGCTCTCGAGGGTATGTGAAGCACGTGGAGAGGAGTAGAATGATTTCTAAGGTCTTTCTCGGGTATCATCGTAGAATCGAATTACGTTACTGCGTCGAAGTTGATCGAAGAGACTCGAGCTACTCAATCTTCCTCCCGCCCCCCGTGGACTTCTCTACAAGCGCAATATCTAGCTATTTATAAAAGTTTGTATTTCTCAACATACGTGACTCTCATCTGATTCCTTCATTCATCATTTGATTGAAATATGGTATCTATGATGAATACAAAGACACAATTATCATAATCCCAATGCCAAAATTGGAGCTTACGGATTTTTTATACAGAATGTCTGGTTATTCGTGACGTAGCGCGAGAATATATAATATATTGAAATATATAATGTATATTGGAACACACACATACGCACAAAATTATATAACATATTAAAATTGAGACGAAAACCCCTACACAAGAAATTACTTTAATATAAGAATATCCAATGGATTCATTTTGACTTTTTCAAAGGTTTTATTGTCGCCATTTCTGTATTTTATGGTTTAGGAAAAAAATCTATCGTCAATTATTTTATAATTTATCTTGAATGTCCAAAGAAAGTCCTTTTAATTCTTTATTTAATTGTTAGTGTTATAAGGACAGTATATAAGCTATTATTTGAAATTTTAGTTTCTTAATTAAGTTTATATTTTATTCTGCGTCCATTCACTAGTATTTTTGTTATAATTATAAAAAACAAATGAGTAATAATTTTATGATTATTTACATCTTACTGTAGAAAATTATAATTTGAAGAAATTATGGAAATTATTCTCATCGTTTTAAATAGAAATGTATAACTGATCTGATTTTTTTATTGAAAATTAATGCGATTTATGTTTGAATATGCATTATTGCATTGATATAATGCTTCGTGAACGTTTATATTGTACGCTCACCATTTCACATTAATATCCAACAATGTCCAACCGTCTACCTTTATCTATTGTTACATCTAAATTACGTCGCTTTGCATCCGTTCAACGTCCAGCTTTCTCAGAATTTAGTCTCTGCAGCGTCCAGCTGTCGTTCCTAGTCGATCGGTTTTCATTCACTGTATTTCAGTTTATTGTACTGCACTCATGACTATAATAACGCTTAATGAGTTAAAAATATGCGTAAAATTCCGGTGTTTTTAAAAAAATATAAATAATAGCGTGTAAACCGAAAATCACAATGTTTTTGATGAAATCAAGATAGTGAAAATATTCTAATTAGAAAATAAAATATAATAGGACATTTAACCCTTTCGCTATCAAAGAACAATGCAAAACAAAGAACAAAATTTATTCATAAGAGAAATATAGGAAATCGGGCTATCTTTTATTTTTGGTCTGCAAATATAAAGCTTAAAATAATAAAATGGTCCAAATCCCGGAGAACTTTTAGAAAATGTAGTTTATTTTTTATAGAAAAGCCCCGTTTTTCAGCAAATATTTTTTAAATAAGCAATTGACATTTGTGAGTAAAAGAAGATCTTTTTATTGATTTTATTGATTTTTTTTATTTTTGTGAGTTTAACAGATAGTTCTTGATCAAAATTAACATATACTCGCAGTTTTTATCTACCGAAATCTCTTCCTTTGCTGTCACATATCCTCAAAATATTTTAAAGTTAATTTCATGCAATGAAAAAGTATGTTACATCACGAATAATATGAGCATATCATTAGCCAGCCGTTAAGCTCCGCACTTAAACGCTGCTCTCGGTTGTACGTTATTTCTCCTGCACTACGATTCACGAAGCTGCGAAAATAAATCTGATGATCAATCATTCGTTAAATTAAAAATATCAATAAAATAATAAAATTAATAAAAAAAAGACTTTTTTGTTCATAATTGTCAATCGTTCATTAGAAAGTATTTGCTGAAAAAGAAGGTTTTTCTATAGAAAAGTTGCATTCTTTTATCAAATTCTCTGAGATTTTGGCAATTTTAAAAGCTTCATATTCGAATTCAGCAGGCCCAATAATATAAAGATAACCAGATTTCATATATTTCGGAATTACAACTAGAGTTGTTAGTCTTCTCCAAGTTTTCGCTTCTTTAGGTGAAAAATTCAAAAAATTACTGAAACTTCCTTTATTCTTCTAACATGCATAACATGCGTGTTAATCTTCTACGATTTTTATTATTTGATCCCCTATATTTCATACATTTTTATTATTTGATCCCCTATATTTCATATATTTTACCATCCTATATTTGCGGCATTTTAGCGGAAACTATCTTCCATGAATAAGGAGCTTTGACTGCATCCCAACAAACATGGTGATGTTAAATGACGCTTTAATGACGTATTAATTACATCCCTAACGTCAATAATATGTCATTAATACGTCATTTGACGTCATCATGTTCACTGGGATATAGATTCGCAACAGGCACATATTGGCAACTGTATCTCAATTTTCGATTACAAGCAGTCAAATACAAGAGTTTGTAAATATATAGGGTATCTGACAATTCATGTAACTCATTGTGTGGAGGTAGAACTCATCAAACCAAACAATAAATTTCCCTATCATTTTACAAACGATTACGTAAAATTTTGAGTTATTAATTACAAAAATTTGGTGAATGATCACGCACGATATGATCTGTTATAGCGATATCTGCCACCATATGCTTGTATATTAGATCAAACTGAAGAGAAAGGTCTTCTGTCACTTTGCAAATGACCACGCCGATTTTTAGTTATTAATTAAATAAGATTAGTGCATGATTGGGTACACGAAGAATTAGAATTGCATGATGCTGCCACTGCCCAGAGTGATCTTAGCACAGAGTGATCGCACACACGAAATATCGTAACGTATTTTACAAATAATTCGATCGATTCCGGAAAATCAAGAGCCACTCGTAATATACCGCGATGTGCTTACCCTCATATCCTTGTTATTGCGAATTTATCCCAGCGAACATGATGACGTATTAATGACATATTATTGACATTAGAGACGCAATTAATACGTCGTTAAAACGTCATTTGACATCATCATTTTTGCTGGAATGTTTGCAGTCAAAGCTCCTTATTCGCGTGGGATAGATTCAGTTAAAATGCCGCGAATATGGAATGTAAAATGTATGGAAAAATAGGGAGTGCGTTCCAAGATAATTAAAAATTAGGAAAAAAATGTTATTAAAAAAGGTTTTATTTCAAATTAACAATTTTATACTATATTATAATATATTAATATTTAGCTAATACATAACAAATGCTTAATATATTTGCATAATATTTTTTTGAAATCTGTACATTATTATAATTACATTATTATTATTATAATTACTTAAATATTATTGGATGTCTGATTAAAAAATGTTTTAAAAAACTTGGTAATTTTTTCTTATCTTGCAACATTTTATAGACTTCTGAATTCAAACAAATTAATTTATTCATTTATTTATAAATATAATAGGATTATAATAGAATAAAATTGAAATTTTGACCGCAAATATGATATTTTCTGATCGCGAATAAAAAGTTGTTATGAATTTTTACTTCACGAATAGTGAAACCCCTAATAAAGAGTTTTGACTATATTATTATTGCTCTTAAGATCACGTGACTTTTAGACAGGAGATGTGCTCGAGGGTATTATTACGTTATTTATTCTTTTATTTTTTCTATATCGTAGTCAGAATTTACGAGTTCTTTTTAGTGAATGATAGGATAAGATTTGAACATTTAAATAATACGCATCATAATCAGTTCGTTGTCTGACACTACCGTGAGATTACTACTTTGTCCGTTTCCGGTGTCCTAGCGGGATTCATTCAGCGCTGTATACGACGAGCTATCGTCGATGAGGAAAGGAGCGATCAATACCACGCATTGTGTGTACGTCGTATGGAAGCGCGTCACAAACGGAACCGCGGTAATTAAAGTTACGAGAAAAAAAACAGCGGGCGACTTTTTACGTTGAAATCGCGACAATCAAAT